ATATTATAACTTGTAACATTCAGTGATAGCTCTCTTTTTTGAAACTACAAAAATACATTAAGAATGAATTATATTTGAGGCATGTCATTAATTGTGGTGTAATTTTCACCATGTGTATAATATTTAACTGCACACTTTGTCACAGTGCAATTATAGGAAATGTTTTTCCAAGATGTCTCTCTGTCTATATATACGTTGTGGTTACTCTAATTATTTTCCCCAGTGATAATGTACAACATTCCCAGGGTCTTGTCTTATAAAACATTTGGTGATAGACAGAATACACAAAGACATCTGTAATTTTCTCCCATTTTTACACTTAGCTGAGAAAGTAGTTTTAAAATATGGTATACCGCAGAACCAAGAGAGATGAATATAGCTCAAAGCCACAGATTTCATTCTCGATATATCTATTCATCTCTGCCTTTTCATTAATATTAGATTCATGTCCAATACTTTGTTTTCAGTGCTATGATGCTCTAAGTCCCCTTAGACCCTAAAACAACTGAGTGAAATTCACACTGGAAAAATATAGAACGATTTGTCTCAAAATGACCATTGCTATTTGAAGTATGCTGTGCAATGTAGTTGTCTGAATTTTCACTCTCATTGCCTATGTGGATGCAATAATGACGGGCATACAATTAGTCAGCAGTTGGCGTTCGTTGCACCAGTCGCTGCTCTACACTTAATCTCTTCCTGGAGTCTTGGGAGAATAATATTTGCATTGGATTATAACCAAAAATCATCTTAAATACAACTTGATTTTGTATATTTTACCCAATTGTATAATTGTATGGATAAAACGTGTGCATATACTAAATGGCATATGCTACACAGAATTTTCCTAAGTATAGTATTAACTGCTTTAAAAACTGTTTCTCCTGACATATGGTAACATAATGTGGCCAGCACACCTGTCTGGCTGGATAGAAAAACTGCAAAAAAAGAAATAAAAAATGACCTGATGTTTCTTCTACTTCCACCTGGTAGATCAGGAGAGATTTCCCTGGAGTCATTATTCTTATACCCTTATACATTTAGTTTAAATTAGAGAAGAATCTGTTCTGTTGTCTTGTCAAGGCAAGAGTAATCTTATTCTGATGCACCTAAAAAAACACAAACAAACCCACATATAAAGCATTTAATGTCATGGATTACGTTTTTTAAACATAATTTTAGAAAAGCACTAAGATTAAGAATTGCTGGCTATATCGTTCCATCATCGGTAAAACGAGACTTTAAATTTTAGCATAGTTATAATTTGAACAAAATTTGGACTCAAAAGCTTTGAAATTCCAGGCTGATACCACCTGCATTAGGTTAGTCACATTGATTGACCTCGGTGGGGATCTAGATTCTGATCTCACATTATTGTAAGAGTCAAATAATTCTGAATTAGTCAGTGTTGTTTCTTGGGCTTTACAGTGTCGAATAGGAGAACAGGAGAATTGAATCTTGTCCTTTTCTGATTAATATTCAATCTCCAAGTTTATCTTAAGTCCTTCTAAATATGCAGAGAAATAAACTGTCACGGAAGGGAGTCTGGGTATATGACAAAATCAAACAAATTAGAAGACTTGAGATCTACACTGCTGAAGTCAATTCTCATTAGTTTGGACGGGTTCAGGGTCAATCCGAGGCACAGGCTGGGTGGTTTCTTTTCCTCTAGGTATGGATTTACCAAACATAGGGGGAAGCTCCATAAAGGTACATCCATATTGTGACTGCACCCAGCCCAGTTGTCCATACCTCAAGGCTGTCTCCTTCACCCAGATCAACCAGTATGAGAAATCTAGTGGTTCTGAGAGTGTATGATGCAGCCTCAACTATCTAATCCTAGGCAAGTACTTGAATGTTCCTGCATTTCCATCTTCCTACCAAGAAAATGATCTCGTGAGTGGAACTCACAGATAAAACGTTCTTCATACATTTTAAAAGTGTTTTATTAATGTAAAATTAAATTGTGCAGGTTATAACATTTCAGTAAAATGCTTATAATAGCTATACTATGAGATATAATATTATAATTTCTAATGTATGAAGAATAGTTATTAAATATATAATGTAGTCTGTTTTTCTGCAGAAATGATGTATGCTAATTTTTTACCTCATTTCTTCATATTAATGCAATGATTTGGATGAAATCATGTACGGAAAGGCAACAGTAAGCCAGAATCAACCCAAAATTGTAGTATTCCAATTGTCAGTAGCCAGAAACCACAGGCAGCAGCAGTTCACAGTTGTTCATAAAGTCATACTATTTATTCTTATTTTTTAATTTATGAGACTTAGTTTCAATTATCATAAGGGTGAACTGATATATTTTCAGTTCATGAGAGTACCGCTTTCAAGCCACTGTGTAGGAAAGAGAAGTATAAATCTAAATAGAGCTAAGAAAGAGGACATTGAAACTAAGCTTCAGGAACATTTTCTAACTTTGAGCTCTTTGCAGTTCTTTCCTAGGAAAAAGTGAATTGCTGAATCCCTGAGACTTTTTAAGTTAATCTAGACAAGACTTTAGAAAGTACAGGAAACAATCTTTCATTGGCAGGGAAAGGGCAAGATGATTTTTTCTTTTTTAATGACTAAGTCTATTATTTTAAGTGGTTCTACCATCCAAAGGGTACAAAAGATAACATTCATGATTAGTTACAAGATAATGACATGGGCCTTGTTTTATTTCATGGTACTTTTTCTATAATTAATAGTAAAAAGAAAAGGACTTAGAAAATGTTGCTTTAATGCTCTATTTATGAAGGACTTCCTGATGATGAGTGTTGTGAAGAGCATCCCCTCTGCTGCAGAGACAGATGTTTTCTGTGGCCCTGATTCAATAAAGCAATCCTGTTCAGGAAAGCAGTTGAGCCAGAGAATATCCTGACAACCTGAGGATGAGAACATGACAAATTGTCCGTACTAAAAACATCTAGAAATTTATACTTTAATGTTACTTCTTTGACTGACTTTCAGCCTCCCTCAGATTATCCAGGGAGGAGTTGAAACGAGGCTAACTGGAGGCCTAAATGGATGTACAAGCTTTATAGACCTGACTTTTCCATTACCTATTCGCTGCACCAAGGCTCAAACTAACTTCAACTCAGATTATTCCAAACTTGGCAATTATTTCTCCTGATCTAGAGCTAAACTTCTGCTTGAGACCTTCATTGACGTAGATAATCAATATCCAAGTGATATATGGCTGCGGAGCTTCTTAGTCTGCGTTAGCCCTTATGAATACAAAATTGAAAGCTGAAGGACTACACACAGTCTGAGATTTTGACTTCTGTGGTATCATGATTATTTGTAATTCCTGAACCTATGTATATTCATATGCTTCTATACACACAGCTATAAAATTTTTATAAAAGGTCTCACCAGGTTTTTTCATAGCTCTGAAAACTACAAGTGTGTTGCCATAGCTGTAGAAGGAATTCATCTTTTAACCAAGTCAAATAAGTTCTTCACAGTTACTTTCCTCTTAGATTGTGCCACAGATTCAGCAACCTCCTGATAGAGCTCTATAGCTCGATTAGCTTGAGACTATAGCCAAGAGAGGAGGAGATGGCACAGGCTGAGAGTCAGGCCCATGAGTTTCTGAGTACATTGTTCCCAGTGACTGTTTTGGAAGATGGAAGCGTTCAGCATTAGGATCGTGTCCTCTCTATAGGCAGCATTTTGCAATTTCATTCTTATCCTTGCAGGCTACCTAAAACACACAATAATCCATTTCCCTGCCTTAAACACATCGCCATGCAAATTCTGTTGAGAAGAGTTGATGCATTTACATCTGCTGAAGTGGAAACATGAGGGCACTTGCCGGTTTTGACAACTAACCCCTGTTTGGTATAAACTCCATTAATTCATACGGGGTCCATACAGCAGTTTCCTTCTCCCTCCCCCCTTCCCTTCTTCTTACTCTCCAAAGGTCTGGTGTTTTGTATGTTTTTTGCAGTGTCTCCCCACGAGTATTTCAGTTCTGTTGGCACTTTCTGTAGCAGTATTAATAATGACATTTCGCTGGCATTGGGCCAGCCGTAAAAGTTTATGGAGTAATTTTGTAATAGAGCTGTGAGAGCTTAGCAAAAACCCAGCAGGTGAACGAGCTTTCTCCCTCACTCCTTTAAAATAAAAGCTCTCCCGCACAGCGAGCTTTGCAAAGCCTTTGCGCCAAGGTTTCTTAGAGGCAAGAACATGCATATTTTAATGTGACAGGTCTAGTAACCAGCGTTCTCCTGTGGCACTCCCACCTCCAGCTGCAAGACTGTACCCCCGGTCCCCATCCTGAGCCCTGCTCAGTACAAACATTGAATATAAAATTGCTGCTTTCCCCTTGCCCTCCACCTTCCAGCTGCATATTCCCACCCTGGTTCCCTGCTTAGAGCAATGATTCAATAAATATATCTACAATAATCATCAGCGCCTCTGTCTGCCCTCCCCCTTCCAGCTGCAGTTTCCCACCCTTATTTCTCTTCTGTGCCATGATTAGTACATATGTTTAAAATAAAACTCATCGTCTCCTTCTCTCTTCCTCCTCCCAGCTGCGGAGTCCTCTCCGCCTCCATCTTACCCAGATTTTCGGCCCCAGTTTGTAGGCATATTTCACAAGAAAATTGAACCTCTGACAGTGCCTCCCCTTCATGCTGACTGCTGTTTCTCCATTTCAATTTGAACAGCGGGTGTTAATACGAAATCAGATCATAGCCCTCAGTGGTTCTGTCGTCAAGCCCAGTCTGAACGGAGCAGAAAGATTCCTCTGTATTTGACTCTTTCTCTTTGGCCAGTTGTCTCGGGCCTCCAGGAGCCTGATCCTGAAAGGCTAGGATGTAACTCGGACTACACCCCCGTATGAAGGAAGTAAAAGGTCTCCTGCTACCTCTTGATTCAGGTGTAGGTGACCAAACTACGAATTCACAGAATGACGTAATCACTGTGGTCGGTAGGAACCTCTGGAGATTGCTTAGTCCAGCCTCCCTGCTCAAAGAGGGGCAGCCAATTACCTTTGAAAGGTCAAGGTAACTGCAGAGTCTCCTGAGGACCAGAGGAAAGCAAACATCACTCCCGTCTTCAAGAAGGACATCACATTCATCCTTACCTTGATCTTTGGGCAGGCGATGCAGCAAAAACCCCTGGACCCCTTAACCTCATCCTCCTCTACCAAGGATAAATTTTCCTTGCTCCAGACTTTCCTCATTTACAAGAATCAGGTCCAGCAAAGCATCTCCCCTTGTTAGATCCTGGACCAACTGTAGCAGGAAATTATTGTCCATGCACTCCAGACACCTCCTGGATTGCTAATGTCCTGCTGTGTTGTCCCTCCAGCAGATACCAGAGTGGCTAAAATTCCCCATGAGGATCAGAGCCTGTGACTGTGAAGCTGCTTTCAATTGTCTGAAGAAGGCATCATCTACTGCTTCTTCCTGATCAGGTGGTGTGTAGATGATACCCACCATGATGTGATCCACATTGGTCTGCCCTTTAATCCTGACCCATATGCTTTCAGTTGGCTCGTGACCCGTCCCCAGGCAAAGCGCCATACTCCCCCACTGCTTTCTCACATAAAGGGCAACTCCCCCTCCTCGCCTTCCCAGCCTGTCCTCCCTAAAGAGCCTATGTCCATCTATGGCAGAACTCCAGACATGTGAGCTGTCCCACCATGTCTCTGTTATCCCACTGAGATGTAGCCCTGCAACTCCATGCAGACTTCTAATCCCTCCTGTTTTTTTCTCATGCTGTATTTGTGTACAGGCACTTCAGAGAGGCAGCCGCTCATGTGGATTTCCCAGCAAAGGTATGAAAACTTTCCCCCTGATGCTGTCCTATAGGCATTTCCTTATTTGATTGCATATACCTGAAGTGGACTCCTATCAGCTCTGTTTTGTTGATTACAAGATCTCTTTTGTCCACATCACCTTGCACCCTTTGATGGCCAGCCCAGTCCACCTCTTCCTCGCTTGCTGATGGTTGTCATCCCCCTGCCTTATTATTCCCAGTTTAAAGCTCCTCTCACCAGGTTGGCCAGCCTATTGGGAAAGATGCTTTTGCACCACTTTGTCAGCTTATCTTCCTAGAAGTTCTAGATCATCCCATGGTCTTTAAAACCAAATCCCTGTTGGTGACATCAGCTGCACAACCAGTTGTTGACCCACACGATCCATCCATTCCTCTTCAAGTCTTTACCCCTCAGTGGCAGGACTGAAGACAGCAGGAGCTAGGCCCCCATGCCCATGCCCCATGAATTGATGCTTTGTATAGGCTCTCTCCTTCCCGCTGCAGCAAGGGACTAAAACACTGGAAACAAAAACTGCCTCCACATCAGGGCTCAGGACCTCAGGTATTGGAAATAGCTCCTGTGTATGAATGGAAACCAGAGGCAGGTGTGTAGATCTGTTGAGTATTTTGATATCTCGGTTTTTATCTGAAGTTTGGTTTCGGCAGAAGTCCCTGTATGTTACTTCATCTAG